ATTTTTGAAAGAGAGAATGTGGGTCCCGTGCTGCTGCCCTCACCTGACAATAGAAATCCCGGAGAACACTGCTGATATATTTAGAGGTTTCCTCGTTTGTGAAAAAAATTTTTTTTAAGTGATTGCTTCTTTAGCCCCCTAATTTAAGGGAAAGATATGCCCTCCTGCAACTTCACTTTAGTATAATTTCACTGAATGGTGTAGAGTGCTCATCAGATCATGGGCAGGATCTATGAATAGCAGCAGATTAAATGTCTCTATTTATAGGGACGTCGAACAGTAGGGAAAATGGCCATCAACTCATGGCATTCTTTTTAGCAATTCTGATCTGGATGAAATTGCTTCTCCTCCCTTAGATGTAAAATGCAGAGGTACTGCATTATACATAAGAGTAGAGAACTGAAATTTTTTCCATCAAGAACCACGAATCAATAAATCTTACGATCTCACTACTGGTGCTATAATTGAGCTAAATTGTCATAAACTGGGCACTGTTCCTGTGGTTCTTTGAAGCATGCTCACTGTTTCCTTGAGTAAAATTGAGGGCTGACCTCCATTTACAGGAACACAGAGGCAAGGCTCATAAATACTAATATTCTGTACCAAGTTCATCAGAGCAGGGCCATTTCACCCCAGACTGTAGACATCCAATGCATGATTTAACTCAGCGGGGAAAAGAAGGTCTTGGCTGGGCTCTCCAGCTTCCCCAGTGACTGGAAGGCTCTTGCAGGTGACAGAAATGTGCTGCTAACTGGAGGTTGTTAATTACCTTTTTTGTATCTATTTCTTAGAAGGCAAATATTTAGTAATTAGCAACTCCATGTTGTGTACAAAACACTGCTAAATGGTCTGCAAACAGAATTGGGCTCTATCTTTTAAGAAATCACTGCTTTTGTCATTTTATTTTATATCTGTCTATACAGAGTTAATGATACTAACAAGTAGACATTTAACACATGGTTCCTAATGATGTTAGAGATTAAGAATCATTACATCCACTGCTCATCAGGTATTTACTGCACACCTGGCACTCAGCTAAGCATTTCATATGCATCATCTCTTATCCTCTCAGCAGCCCAGCAAAGGAGCTACTCTTACTATTCCCATTTTATAGATAAGGAAACTAAGGCCAAGCGAAAGTAACCTACTTACTCAGGGATATGTAGCTAAAAAGTAGTGAAGTTGGGATTTAATCCCAAGCCGTCAAATTCCAGTGTTGTGGAAAGGACCCTGGCAGCCTCCCTCACAAGCAAACCAACTAGAGCCTGCCAAAATGAAGACTTGCTTGGGGAGCCCCCTGGGGTTCCAGGCAGAGCTAGGAAGTCATCTCCCCATTCCCTACCAATACCTTTTCCATTATATCCCTGGGGACCTCCTGTCTTTTCACCACCCGGCTGAGGCCTGTCCAGATCTTTTCTCCATGCTTAACAAATATAAGTACATATTGAAAACACATTTCTAAGACCCTTTGAGAAATGCAGAAGATCCTGGAGGCTATGGAGAGAAGTAATAGACTATGTGACACAAGTGGAAAATATAGAAACGGTTTAAAAAGTAAATGAAAAAGTGGGGAATTGGAAGACAGAACTTAGCTGAAACAGAGTAGAGTAGCCAGAAGGCCTTGTCCGCAGTGTGGCACTTACCCAAAGCAAAGATGTGACAAACGGTGTGGGTGGGTGGCTGACTGACATCAAACATGTAATTGTCTTCAAAATATCAAAGATTAATTTACACTTGGAAGCTTCCCCCAAAATTAACTGAGATTGAGAACAGTATAGTGTTCAAGCCTGAAATGAAGTAATTAAGTCATTCTTCAGGCAGTAGGGTGGCTTTGATATTATCAGAAACACTGAGTTTGAAGGATTTAAAATACTCATAAAATCAGGCCTGATTAAAAATCGGGCATTGTCATTGTTGTTGTTGTTGTTGTTGTTGTTGTTGTTGTGCTGTGATATCCAGGGTCCTTCTGGTGATGTTAGAAAGCCGAACCACTCTAGTAGCCAGTGGGATTTAAGGGGACCCAATGTGGGAACTTTGTAGTCACGTCTGTGATGATAGCAGAGTTCCATAGAGCTGAGGACTTAGGCTGGATCTTATTCTTTTTCTCTTTTCAAATAGCAGTGAGCTCCCCACATATCCACAAAGAAAAGGGACACTCTGGGTTTGGCGGGAGGGTAGGGATGGTGAAAGGGTGTGAGGCTTAAGGCATTTGGTGTATAAGAAGTGATGGCGATGGGGGGTTGTGGAAAGAACCAGAGGTGCCGTCAGAAGACCTAGGTTCCAGTTTTTCTTCCCCTCGTGCTAGCTTTGTGACTTTCGGTGTGTCCCTAACACTCTCTGAGCCTCAGTTTCCTTGTCTGTAAAATTGGGATCATAAAATTGCTAGTAAAAGGTAATTGAAATAGGGCACCTTAACAGGGCTCTGTCAGCAAAAGAGTGATTATTGTTCCTCTCTTGATGTGAGATTTCTACTTCAGCGTGTGGCATTTCTTCTGTTGGCTCAGCCCTGGTTCTCTTCTAAGGCCCTGTGAATGGGTCCAGAGAGCCTTTGTACTGGCTGCGCATTTTGAGAGCTGGACCCCAGGAACCTTCACAGCCTGCCTCTTCTAATTCCTCCCTGCGTTTCCCTTTGTGGAACTGTTAATGCTCAGGCTTTTTCTTTTGGACTCTGATTCCCTTTGGGAGTCGGAGCACTCTTTCAGCTTCCGTGGGCTCGTGCCCTGTGGCCCAGAGTCAACATGCCACGTTGAGCTTGCTTCTGACTCTGCCCACAGCTGTCCCAACATTTCCCTGCCCAGCTGGAAGCGGGTGTCACATACTGGCCTGCGCTCATAAGTGCAATTAAGAATAGTCTTGTTGTTAAAAACAACTGTGAAAGGAAAAGCAGGATTTGGATCTCATCATATAAAACAATTTTAAGCAATAAACTAATGGTAATTGGATTCATGAGTTTCTCTGTAATTTCAAAGCATTTACCACTCTGAACAAAGAGACATTCCTTTTCAAATATATATGTCCAGTAAAACTGTTAATCTTATAGTATTCATAAAAGCTTTATGGTGAAAGTTGTATAAGCCTATAATGTGTTTGAACATCATCTTTAATGAAAGTTGATAAATTGACGATTATTTCACTGTGTCAAAAAAACCTTGAAGTAGAAGTTACCCAGCAGGAGTGAGTGTGGAGCTAGGCCTGCCCAGTTCACTTTAGAGTGTACTAGTCAGGAAGAGTTACGGGGGAGTCAGGAGGGGGCATTCTCCCATGGTCTCAAAAGGAAAGGAGAATCAGATATGGGCAAGCATTGGGCTCTCCATTACAGTGGGGAAGCAAAAACATTAAAAGAGTTACCGTTTGACTGCCGTTTTTAAATTTCTCATCGTCTGACAACTGAAATTCCAGTGTGGATTGAGGGAACTGACTCTGGGTTTCACACTGCTTTCTCTAACATCTTGTCATTACAGTCTTAACAATTGCCATGTCCATATATTACCTGTAAACATCTTTGACAAGGCACCACACTTGGAGAGAGAGCAGGTGGGATCAGCTGTTCGCTTGTTTCCCCTCCTGGCTCGAACCCCCTCGCCCACCCACCCTTCCCAGCTGAGCCAATGCATCCAGAGTATTTGGCTCCCCGAGTCAATTGTTTCAGAAGTTCAAGGGGCAGTGTTGAATGTAGTTGTCTGGCTGTAACATATACCTTTGAAAGTTATAGGCAGGTGCTTCTGAGTCAAGACCGTATGTTTCCTGAACAGCTACTGTTGTCCGGAACTGTATCAGGTCCTGGGGAGCAGAGAGAAGTGTCTGAGTGGTTCCCTGCCCTGTTAGAGCTTATGATCCTAGCAGGAGAGAGAAGAGTGTGAACAAACGGTTGCCCTGTCTTTCAGGATGTGATGACTGTTACATGAGAACTACCAAGAGGAAGGTGCTAGAGGCTCAAGAGCTTGGATTGGGAGAGAGCTCTTCCGTCAGGGGTGGCCAGAAGGCAGTGCAATTTTGTGGGGGCATTGGAAGATGAGGAAGACTTGGTTGATGTAGATGATGGGAGAGGGCCTTTCAGAGAGAGTTAATAGGGTTAGCAGAGGCACAGAAATGGAACAGTACCATCTTTCTGGTCCACGTGCTTAAAAGTAAACCTGCTGCTGACCTGTGTCTATTGGTGATGCTCTGCATGGCTGCCTCCTGGAGGACATTGAAGCTCTTTGATTAGATTTAGGTTGCTGCTTCCTTGAGGTCAAGGACTGTCTATTTTTATTCTTTTATTACTCAACATGATGCCTGGAAGAGTGTTTTTTATGTAGTGATTGAAAAGCTTATATCATTGTAAACTGTATTTTTGGTATGTTTGCAGCCCAAGAAACCCTTTTCAGTAATGATTTCCATGATCCTTCATATGATCTTCAAATATTATGCCTGAATTTTTGTCTGTCTGCCTGGATATTGGTCATTATGGTTACACAGTCCCGGCTCTGAGGTCCATGATGCCCCATGGGTGCTTGTGCATGTCAAGCAGGCGTGATTCCCACTGGCCAGGGAGATGCAGGAGGCGGCAGGTTGGAGGGAAGAAAAGGGAGTGGGACCTGAAGGCTGATCCAGAGAAACCAACCAGCATACTCAGTGGGGAAGTTAGAGATGGTGAGAAGTTATTTCTGGGCATTAAAAAATAAACGAAACCCTTGAGACGTTATGGAAGTTAAATGATGCAAATTATGGAGCATGGTGGAAGAAAAAGTAAAAATGCAAGGACTGTTAAGAAGCTTCAAAATGCGTCAAATTAGGTTTGTGGACTGGACCACACTAACAATATTTACTTGATGTTGAAATTTAGTATTGACAGCTGAAGTTGAAATATGTTTGTTATGTTTCTGTCTTGTGCTAAAATAAAAATGACACTCAAGTCATTGGGTGTTTCCCCCCCTTGGAATCCTAGGATACGGTGCCCTATAAATGTCAGAATGATGAATAGGCACTGCTTCATTCTCCCTTGTGCTTTCTCACTGCAGGAAATAGCAGAAGTAGCCCCCCGCCCTATGGGTTCCGGCTCTCACCAGAAGAAGAAATGAGGAGACAACGGCTTCACAGATTTGACTGCCAGTGAGGTGGCACAGCATCTCAGGCAAATGTGATCCAGTTGTGTAATTATTGCCATTTGGTTCATCCCCCAAGCCCTACTTGGTTTTAAACCAAAGCAGCGTGCACTATTGTCCCAGATTGCTCCCGTCTGCCTTGGCCACTGTGAATCTAGATTCACAAGCACATTGACTTGTCTTGAAACCAGACTTGAATGCAGCTCACAGCTTTCTGGGAGTGGCCCTTCTCCTGGCCTCGTCCTATCTCACAGACAGGTCAGTTCCTCCATGTAGGGACCAGTTTCCACCCTCCATTCTCTCCCTGATGACTCAGCGGTACCTCTGCCTTGTTTTGTTTTTGAGGACTGTGACCTTCACCAGGAGGTTCCTTTTCACCAGCCCGGAAGATTAGGCTCTCATTCTGCCCGGCATGCCCAGTATTTGATGTGGCAAGAAATGAGGCCCCATCCCTTGTCGTCCTGGCCCATTGCCATGGTGACTTTCCAGGAACACGATGTGGCTACCATGGCAATATGCTCTTCTGGTCTCCCTTGGGCCCCTGCGTCAGGGTGGTGTTGACAGTGTACTAGCTTTGCTCCTATATTGCTCTGCCTTTAAAGAACGTTCTACTGGAAAAGCTTGAGTAAGACCTCAGGTGGGACACCCACCGCCACAGTCCATTAGATAGTGGGTGGCACCAACAATTTGGGCTCACACAGCGTCGCCAGTGACAATATATGTTCCTGGAGATGTGACTCGTGTTAATCAGCAAAGCAGCAGCAGGTGCCATGTACAGAGTAGAGCAAAGGCCTTCAGGAGGTTGGTCACTGAGAAATCCCTCTTGAGGAAGTATTTTTTTCCTCATAAAAGTGCCTTTTAAATGGCCACTGTAACAGCCACTTGTCCTGCCCAAGTGTCCGAGACACTCTCCTGGCTCCTGCAATGTTATAACCCACAGACTATCCAAGTCACTTAAGGAGCTTCCTGGTGCTTGTGTTTTATGAATCAAAGGCCAAAGTCAAATATCACTGATGTCTTATTGTGACTGAGATATTTATTTTTAAAGAGAATTGCAAGCAGAAAAGAATCTTCCTATTTTGATTCATCTAGCATTTATATACAGTTTTCTGGTTATGAAAGTAATATATATGCCCTATATACACAAAAAGCAAACAGGAGGGAAATATATCCATATATTAGTAGAGGTTATTTAGGGGATAGAGTACATAGGATTTTGCTGTCTGTCTTTTTACAATTTTATATTGTAATCTTTTTAAAATGTGTGTATGTGTATGTACATGTAATCTTTCCGCAATCAGGAAAACTGATTTATATAATAATAAATCAAGAAATATATAATCAGAAAAATGGACTTAATAAGAACTGTGTCTCCATTGAGGAAATTTACAATATAAACAAAAATACAAATAAATAAATGTAGAATTTTAAAATCACCTATATTCCCACCACTTACAGGTGCCAGGGTTAACATTTTGGGGATATTGCCTTCTCAGTTCTTTTATACATTTGAAAAATTTGGAGCATACCAACTGTGCAGTTTAGTATCCGGTTTTTAATCTGAACTGACCTGGGAGAGGCATTGACACTTGCATATAAATGAGCTAAGAAGCCACTGAGTCCTGGGAGTACTTTGACCTGCCTGCTGCCCGCATGATACCTGAGCTCCTTTGGTTAATTTATAATTGATGTAAAGCCACAGCTTGTTTCTAATAAGAATTGTATCTGTAAGTCTGGTAACTTCAAACGTGTTTAAATTCGTACGTTCAAGCTAAATGTCATTCCTCTCTCTCCCAAACTCCAGGAAACCCCCATTCTCCTCATTAGAAATAACCTCATTCTTACACGCCATCTTCTCATAGCACATTGAAAAGGTAATTCTGTTGTAACACTTATATCTTGCCCTTATTATTATTTGTGCACAACTAGACATGCTTTCTACACTGGAGTGTGGCTTATGAATGGCTCCGGGACGAGGCTTGTGTCTTGTCTTTCTACACTTTCCCACTCTCCCCCTCCACCACACAAAGGCTGTCCCTGGGAGGGGCTCATTAAATGTTTCTCCAACCAGAGTGTTTTTTCAGTTGCATTAAAAGTCCCACCACTGTATATGGAAGTTTGGGTTTTTTTCCTTTATTGCTGTTGAGTCCAGTTGAGTACCTCCATGTTCTATTTGATGTGTCAAATACGAAGATGCCAGAATTGGATTTCGGATGGTATAACTATAATATTCATGCCTTCTTTATTTATGGAGTGGAACATCACTAAACTTTTAGACATGTGGAAAAGGCCATTTTAGTTATAAATATAAACCACTTAGCAAGACAGTAAAGATGTTCTAGAAATTATTATAATTACTTTGTTCAGGTAATAGGCTTATTATTTTCAATGTCCATCTTATTTTTTTCTCAGAATAAGAAATCTCCAAAGTTATAACAACAAACTGGAATTGGGTTGAGAAAGACAAACAAAAGCAAGTGTATTAGACTAATTATCTCTAATAGGGAATAAGCATTTAGAGCTGGTTTTTAAATTTGGTTTCTTTACTGAATAGTAATTTCCTGATTGTCTGTTAAGCATCCAGTTCCCACAGTTTGGTTGTGGTCAGTCAACTTATGAGACCTCTCAATTCAGAATCTCTCCTGGGTTCTCAAGATGAGGGAGTGGTTAAAATTGCTTCCTCTTAATGATCTTGAGTGTATTGCCTGTGATCCCAAAGTTGTATGTAATTGTTCAAGCCTCCTCCATCCTTTTGAGTTGTCTGCTGCTGAGGCTCAAGCAGTAAATAGCTGGTTTTAGTAGGATCGGGGCTAGTCTACATATCTGGCCCGTGTTCTGCCACCTGGGGAGTGAGTAAGCTAGAGGGATGAGATCCACTACCCAAAACGGACTGCAAGAGAGGGTGAGGCAGGCCTGGCCTCCTTGTTCCCAGTCTTAGTTTCTCTAGAGAGATTCAATATTCAGTAAAGAATTGTAGTTAATTAGTCATTTTTAAAAAACAAACATGTCATTTTTTCCTTTCCCTTCCCATGGATTATTGCAGTCATTTCCTAATTATTATTATTATTTTTGCCCTTAGTCTTTCATTGTAGAATTGCAGACTCTCTGCTTAAAAGCACCTTGAAATCTCTCAAGTCGTTGCTTTGCTCAATACTTAAAGCACCTCTTCACTCAGTTGTACAGAGCTCTGCCAGTTGATCTTGCAGAATCTGCTCTTGATGCCACTCATCGTCTCAGTACCTTTTGTCGTCTCTCTGTTGCCAAAGGATAAAGGTCAGGCTCATTAGCCTCAACCATGGGGCTCCAGCCAGCCTTTCGACCTCATCCCCTCGTATCTATAACCGAGTCTGCGCTTGTGCTGACTGGTCTCCCCACCCAAGCCATGAGCTTTCCTGATCCTGTGACTAAATTGTGATGTGCTTTTACATGGGACAGCCTTTTCCTCTTAGCCCATCCAGACCTCCCTGTCCTGCCCCCAGACACCGCAGCCGAGAAGGATCCCACCCCCATCAGATCCACTGCTCTTGTTAGGTGTTCCTCACAGTTTCCACAGGCCACTTGAATGCTGGTTATCCTGCAATGAGAGGATGTCTTTCTCTTTAGATTGTAAGTTTCATGAGAGCAGGGACCATGACTCTGTTTCTGTGTGTCTCCTCACAGTCCCTTGAAAAATGCTTTGTCTAGAATATCAGAACTAATAAATGCATGTGGATTGAAACAGAAGCTCATTTATACCATCACCAGGGGCACGCATAAAAAGATATGCCTGTTGCTTGTTGGTATTGTAGTTTTTTTTGTTTTCCTTGAATCACATCATCAAAAGAATAATTTGAAGGAAAGCATTTGCCCATAAAAACCGAGAATTTGGGGCCTTTCCCAAGTCTTCATAAGATGACGTGCTTACTGATCAGGTTGTGGGGAGAGAGCACTAACCTCGTGTGTCGGTCTGAAGGCACACTCCACTCCGCTGAAAGCTGCAGCCTAGTGCACAGAACTCCAGATTCCAGCATGCCCAAGAAAGATCCCCAAGGAGTCCCTGTGAATGCCACCAAATCTGGCCACTGCACTTTTGCAGGTATGTGTTTGATATGTCTATGTTAACATTGTTTTTCTTCTGTGGTATGGAGGGGCAGGGAGAGAGTCATCTCGACATCTTGTTCAGATGACAAAGGAACTGGCAGATTTGAACATACGACTTATACTTTATCAAGGAAAATGGAAACATTCTAACAGAAATCATTACATTGGGTGGTAATACATGTTGCTGCTTGGGAAGAGAATGGGGTAGTAAAATCAATAGTATCGTGTGGCCTAAGGAGGCTATTGGAATCTGGGGTACACACAAGCAAAACCTGAGACAACACTTCCGCCACACAGCCCTCTATACACAATACTTGACGTGGGTCCCTTCTCTATGGAAACGAGCTGCTCACCCACTGGCCAGGCTTTCTGCCTGGAAGTTGTTTCCTTCTCTCACTTTATTTCACCCTAAATACCTTATGTAGTGTCTGGAGGGAACTGCTAAAGCAAATAAACCAAAAAACGGTGTGATTTTATAGATTCTTGGTATTTATTTGAGGTCCTTAAAAGTTATTTCACTTTAACCTTGAGATGTTATCTCTTCATAAGATCCTCTCCCTCAACAATTTAAATTATCTTGCTTACCCTTAGTAGCAGGTAATTTTCCAACAGTTGAACAAAGTCTTCAGAATCTCATTAAAGAATAGCCCCAGGGCCAACCTCCCTGCTACTCAGAGTGGGGCCCCCGGGCCAGCAGGGCCAGCAGCACCTAGGAGTTCAGACTCCTGCCCTCAGACCAATTGAATCATAATCTGCATTTTAATAGGTCCCAAGTGCACATGAGTGGATAGAGAAGATGTGCTACATATATACAATGGAATATTATTCAGCCATGAGAAAGGAAATCCTGCCACTTGTGACAACTGGATGGACCTGGAGGACATTATGCTAACTGAAATAAGCCAGAGAGAGAAAGACAAACACTGTGTGATCTAACTTATGTGTGTAATCTAAAAAAAAAAAAAAAAATCCAACTCAAAAACAGAGTAGAATGGTAGTTACTAGGGAGTGGGGGAAACAGGGAGATGCTGGTCAAAGGGTGCAAGGTTTCAGTTAACTATGAGATGAATAAATTCTGGGTATCTAAGCACAGTGACTTTAGTTAATAACACTGTATTGTATACTTGAAATTTGCTGAGAGAGTAGATCTTAAGTGTTCTCATCACGGGAAAAATAAATGAGAATGTAGATGTAGAAGGACAAAAAACTGGTCTCAGGTGGGTTTTTTTGGTTTTGTTTTGAGAAAAACAAAAGTCCTTCTCAAATTGCACTGCACACAAATGCATTTCAAGATGATCATCAGTTATCTGCTGGGATTGTAACAGCCATCTCAGAGAACCAGTCGTCCTGTTTTCAGTTTCAATGCCAAGGCTCAGAGAGGTGAAGTGAGGGATCCAGGATCAGCAGCTAGGAACTGGTAGCACCTCCTGCTGTTTCTGTTGTGCTGAGCAGGAAAGAGAGGAACTGCTCTCAGCAGGAAGATTAAGTTAGAGGAAAACAACTTACCTGCAGCCACACACCACTTTCCTCCAGCAAACAAGGTGCCATCACCAGTGCTTGTGAACAGCAGCTGTGTGTGTCAGCAGTGGGCCGGCCGGAAGTACCAGAGGTGGAAGTTCCTCCTCGTTTATCAGGAGAGCAGAATAAATGGTGTAACCAACCTGTGACAACATGTCTGGTTGGATCCACCATTTATTGTGTGAATTGTAAAGCAGACTGCTTTGCGACTAGAAGAACGTTTTACTCCTCCTTTTAAAACTT